ATCATAAACCATCCAGCTATTGGGGATCCCCCATTTCAGGAAGCTCCTTCAATGGGCATAGTTGATGGGTCTGCCAGACGAAGTCTGGCGAAAGCTACTAATGGGGAGATGCACCAATGTGCAGAGGAACTGGTTTAGTGCAAAACTTCCAGACACCCATATATATATATACACATCCACATATGTATATATATGTATATATATATGGGGGAGATCAAAACTATTTTGTCTGCAGCTGGAGGCCCTATCCGGGGGCCACACTCCCTGCCTGCTGGATCCCATCTTGGTGCCCATGGGATTGGACAAATTCTGGAGCAAAGATCAGAAGGTCACTGGAAGAGAACTGAATCCAGCACTTTTTGAGGATGATATATGTGGTATATGTACATATATCTATCTATCTATCTATCTATCTATGGTTATATATGGATGATATGTGGTATATTATCCAAATATATCTATTTTATATCCATATATGGTAAATCACCTTTCTGATTTTTGGCAGTTTTGAAGAGAAGTGAAGTAAAGAAATTGATCTTTGTGGATTTTCGAGGATTTATTGGTTAGTGGTGGTGTGGCGATTTTACACCAAACACATGGTGGCCATCTGTGGGTGATTTCTCCAACTGACAGTGGTTATACCTCGATCAATGTCCCCATCCCTCTGGTTCCACATTTTTTTCCCTTCTGTTTGATCATGCCCCCACATGGGCATGGCTTGGAAATGTGAACCACCAAAGCATGGCTTGAACATGGATGGATCAGTACAAACAGTGGCCAATTCTGTAGGTTGTGTAGCCAATTTAGGCTCGGTTTGTCCATACCTTGGTAGATTGTTGGGCAGCTGTCCCTATGAGCAAGTGACAATCTTGATTGTAATTAAAACGAGATCGTTTCATTTCCCCCTATGATTGTATATAGCACTTTCCCCACGACAATCTTGGTTCTATCCCAATTTATACCCATTACATCCCTATGTTCTCCCATTTCTGTGGCCAGATATCCTCGAGTGTCCCCATCCCTACGAATTGGTCGTATCCTCGTCATCTCTAATGTGAGTAAAGCAATAGGATCCACCATCCCCAAATCTACCATTTTTATGGGTGGTACCATCAATCCATATGGGTGCTTTACTATTGCTTTACTGTGGGTAAAACAATGCCATGAACCATCCCCCAGTCATCACCATTAAATAAATAAATGAATAAATAAATAAATATATATATATACACATAGGTGGTACAAACATGTATGGTTACCATTCCCAGTCATGGGTGGTTTATTGCATGGTTTTACCCACATTACGAACATGATATGTTTCTACTCCGAGGACAAGGCTCAGGCAACGACTGAGAAGCTTGAAGGGAAGCCCAGTACCCAAGGCAGGACGGGAGGCCATTGAGGCCCAGTTCCATAGTTGTTCTTGTTTAGATGGTAGTCAGTCACATGGTTTGCTGGAAAATCTCATATCGATGATTTTCCCAGCTGTGAAGCTACATTTTTATAGGCGATGTACCATCATTTCGTGTGGGGTCTGCAGACAGGAGAAGCTTCATCCAAGCAAGGTGAGAAACCACCTGTGGCGCCTGCGCAGGGCTAAATTTTCTGGGCAGCATCTGGGAGAAAAACCAATGGCATCTCCAGCTCACATTGAAATAGCTGGTAGTTGTGGTTGTGGAGATTCACCAAAAAAACGCCAATGGAAAACATCATCGAAATCCATGGGATTTTCCGCCATCCCGGCCATCCCCATGCTGACCCTTTGGTAAACACTTCGCTATGGAAAGATCCACCATTTTTTGATAGGTAAATCATCGAACTAAATGGGCCATGGCTTCCAATCTCTATCTTACTGGAGGTACGCTTTGTGAATGATTGTACTTTGCCAAGAGTCCTGGATGCGGACCGTAGAGGTGTTGGTTGTGGAGCTATATTCGTGGGTGAAAATCATAAAGCAACCACAATTTTGATCCAGAGCCAAACACTAAAACTGCCGGCCGAAAACACGAGAGTAGGCTTGGTGACTCTTTCAGTGCTGGGAGTTTGCAGTTCATGAGACCAGTCATTCGCGCGAATGGCGACGCATTGATCTTGGTATCTTGGTGGTGGTTTCAACTGTTTCTCACCTCACATACGGATTCGGGAGAGTCACCCCAAAGGACAGGTTTGGGATAGGTCAAGCAGCAATCAGTTCCAATCTCTGTCATCATTCGCTGCGCACTGGTTGAGCTTGCTGCAAATCTCTCAAAGGGGCCCGCCATTTGCTGTAGATGACAGTGACGTATTCAAATTCATCTTTGAGCATCTAAAATGAATCCATCTGTAGCAACTCGCTAGCCATTTGTGGACCTGCAATATTCAAAAAAATACCTCATTCCAGAATGTAATAGCATTATGAGTTGAAGAAACAACGGAAGGCAGGATCCGATGTCATAGGTCACACAGCAAGTGATGGTCGCTCCGGCTAACTGGCATTGAGTAGTGGCTGACCTGGGCTATGCCGATTTGATGCTGATTTGCTGCCGATTTTCCGCCTTTCCAGTGGCGCTGCTGTGTACAGAATTATCTGCTGAGTGCAGAAGGAAGTTGGTGTTTTATCTTCGAAAACGAGGTTCGAAAATACTCACGGTTGTGGGTTTTATAATTTCAATGGACAAAAACATATACATGTACAAAAATATACTGTACACATCTTACAGAAAATATAATTTTATATAATTTGTATGTGTATATATATATATGCTTCCATACAAATGCCGATGCATACTAGAAATCCGTAAACACTATATATATATATATGTATGTACACAATATATCTGTATATAGATACATTTGTGTGCCATGATTGCTTCCTAGTTAAGTCTCGATCCCAATCGGCAAAAGAATGAGAGGGGTGGGTCAACCACTAACCAGTCATGGTGGCACCTCTTTGTTCATACGTCACAAACACAGTCCCATCTTTCATCACACTCAACAAACAACATCACATCACTCTCTCTCTCTCTCTCCACATGTATGCCCATGCACAAATACACCACACACACACACATATATATACATATAAAATAAAATAAAATTATATAATACAATATACTATTTAATATATAACATATAAAATATAATATGTAATATGTAACATATAGCATATAATATGTAATATAATATATAATATAATATATAATATATAATATATAATATATAATATATAATATATAATATATATTATATAATATATAATATATAATAAATAATATATAATATATAATATATATATTCTATAATATATAATATATGATATATGATATATGATATTTGATAGATGATATATGATATTTGATATATGATATATGATATATAATATATAATATATGATATAATATACAATATATTTTATATAATATATGATATATTTCAATAAAATATAATATATTTCAATATAATAAAATATATTTCAATATAATATAATATAATGTGATATAATATAATATAATATAATATAATATTTATTAATATATATATATATTATTATATATAATAATATATATGATATATAAAACATATGTATAATTATATATATATATGTATATATATATGTATATATATATATATTAATATATATAATAATATCAATAATTATATATGTACTAATATATAATAATATATATATATTTACAAAAATTTATATTAGATGTATAATATATTTTATACATAATATATATATATAATATATTTTATACATAATATATATAATATATATAATATATAATATATAATATATTATTATATATATTATATTAAGTTATATATATATTATATTATAATATGATATAATATAAACATATATAATATAATAATTTATAATATAGTTATAATATGATATAATGTCGTATAATATAGTATAATATAATAAACCATAATATAATATAATATAACATAGTATAATATAATATAATACAATATAATATAATATAATATATAATAATAAAATATATA